GGCACTGCAACAAGCGAAGCTTTGCAATGCCACACTGCTCTGCCCAATCCAATTTCAAGGAATTGCACTGTCTAAAGCTGCGGCAATAGCGGCACAGAGTTGCCGGGGATATGGCTGTGCTCGTCTTGTGAGCCATACCCCACGCTTGTCCTGACCAACTAAAGTGATGTGCCTGCTATTGGTAAACTGACACCTTCCTAGGCAGCTGTTGCATACTTTTGCAATGGAATGCAAGGTGTTGAAACCGGAGTGGAAAAGAAAGCCTGTCGACTTCCTCCAGGGCATGCCATAGGCGCAAAAATCGGACCGAATGAATTTGGTCCCTTGCTTGCGCCACTGTCTCATTGGCTCTGTCAGCCAAATTCGGGATGTGAATGGGTTTTCCACGACCCAAAAAACATTGAGCTCTTCACATAAAGAGATAATGCTGTTGGTCACCTCCAAGAATTGGTTTCCCAATTGGACCTTGGCTTGGTCAGCGCTCTTTAGTTGACAGAGACCCATCAACCCTGCATCGTCGTCGCGCAGGGGCACGGGGCCACCGTCATGTTTTCGCGCACGGCTCCAAGAGGTGCAGGGAGTCCCCATCCAAACCAATGCAATTTTCTTTGCATGCTTGCGAATGAAAGAAAACAGTGAATCCACTATTTGTTTGTCTAACAGATTACAACCGTCTCCATATTCAATATCGTAAGCAAATGAGTGAAAATTGTGTTGTGCACAGGCTTGACTGGGTCTTGCACACCCTGAAAACAGCTCTAAAACAAAGTATGATGCGTTCTTGCTTTGCTTGTCCGCTGGCTGAAAAATTTTGGGGCCTCCCGGTCGAACTTCTGTGTCAGCTGCTGGCACCTTTGCTGAGTTTTTTGTGGCAGACGATGAAACTCCTGAGCTATTCGGCCATGAGCTTCGTATCTCTTGACACTTTGATCTGCAGCCCATCTTCCCCTTTGTTTCACTTCCAGGGGTGTGCGCAGGCGCTGATGCCTGTCGTGAGACGGGCCCGAGTGCCTCAGCTGGTAGAGGACACAATGGTTGGGCTCCAAGCCCAGCTTGTTTTGTGCCCATTTCCACTTGGTCACCAGGTGGTCGTAGGTGACATCGAGAAGAAAGACCGGATGAGTAGCTATAGCCTCTAGCCCTTGTCCCAGCCATGGAAACATTGGCGAGTCCAGCATCAACGATTCGTCGGAAAGTCCCACTTTGGACTGCTGCATCCTCTCTGCCGGGTGTAGCAGTAGGGAGAAGTGTTGACTTCCGGGAAGGGGCCGCACTAGATCGGATCTTTGGAGATCCAGCGCTTCGCCCGGCCTCAAGTAGGCCGTGAACATCAGGAGGATGGCCCCGACCACGGCCAGTTCTGATACTCGCAGCAGCTCCATGCACATGCTTGCTATGAGTGGCCATGGAATTGGAGGCCGTGTCCTCTGTGGTTCCAGTTTTGCCCATCCCTGCAATGCTCTCCGGGTCCTCGGCATGCACTGTTTGGGGGAAAGGCTGGAAATGCATCGATGATGGCTGCCAATGTCTTGGTTCCGTCTTGCAGGTCGAAGCCGAGCTCGAACATGTTGTTCACAAATTTGCAACAAACCAAGTCGAAGTTGTCTTTTCGATTCAGTTTGAAGTTCTTTTTCTTTGCAAACGCTTTGAGCTCCATCACCCTTCGTGTGTAATCTATGGCTACCGGCTTGGAAACCGCAACCTTCTCCAGAGGCGTCTGACCCCTGAAACGAGGGGGATCGTCCCGAGTGGACAGCTTCTGAACCCGAGTCTGCTGTTTCTCCTCTATGGTCACTGGAAAGGCCTCTTTCGCTTTCCTCTTCCGTTGACATCTTGAGGGTCTGTTCGCCTCGACGGGCAAGAGAATCGAAAGCACGGAGTCCTTTGGCCCTGCCAGCGATGTCGGACGCTTTTGGGTAGCATCTTTCGTCGACTTCTTCTTGTCTTTTGCGCAGATGCTCTCTGCTCGCAGCATTCAGCTTTCTGTCTCGCTCCCAGCGCCTGGATGGACCATCTGCTATGTTCCTCTCACTTGGGATCCACCGCACGGCCAGAAACGAATCAGTGGCCAAAAGCAAACATGCCACCCTTCGGCATATCCGGAGCATGCTATATTGGGCCGACCTACCTTTTGAGAGCGTCAAAGTCATAGACATATTGTCACAAAAATGAAGGTGGGCACGACCAAACTCTCCAACCGACCTAAACTTGTGTCGAAGCGATGCTATGACTCCTCTGCCCTCCAACAATGTGATGTGTTCGGGATGCTGCATGTGCACTGCAAAACATTCATGCCAATCGTCTTCACACAAAAAACTAGGGTCAACTTCTTTAAAATTGACATCCAATTCAAAAGGATCCTCAACAGGCGGAGTCAAGATTGGTTTTGCTGTGGCTGGCTCGGAAAAAGGGTCGAGTTTTGTCGCTCCCAGGGCTGCTTCCCGGGGGGGCCGCTGGCACGCACGACTTGTACCGCCAAATCTCCTTTAAACTACCAATCTCAGCTTGCCACTCACGATCCAAAGGCCTCCGACAGACAGCTATGCCCGATAACGAAGCGTCTGAAGCGGTGACATCGCTAGACCAGTCTTTATGCATGTCGACCGTACAAAGAAAAAGAAGATGAGAACACCATTTCGCTTCCCTAGCAGCAGATGTCCACAGTCGCTTCTTCTTGTTGTAGTGTGTGTACGCAAAATCATAAAGGCTCCTAAAAATGGATAACAACTCACGTCTCAATAGACAAATGTGTATTGCGTGTCCCAAGAGCCTCTCGATGGCTTTTCCGGACACCTTCGGTCTCTTAGCAAGCCAACCAAATGATTTTACAATCTTGTCCAGTCTCTCTGGAATAGGGGAAATGATCCCTGCCGCTCCATCTATTTGGAAACCAAGTGATTGTGACATAGTGCAAGCCTCGGTCTCCTCGTGAACTCTGAAGCCTGTCTCTCGCAGTTCTTTCACGATGGAGTCCTTTGTGGCCTGCACGGCTCTGGCATTTGTACCCAGCACATTGAGATTGTCCGCATAAACAATGAGTGCACATCGACCGGAACTCAGATCAGGGCACGGACGTCCCTCCACAAGTAAATCATCTGTACCCAAACCTGAGGATTGAAGTGCAATGAACTGATGAACTCTTTGACTGATCCACATTGCCCAACTCCACCCCATTGGCACCGCCCTCAGTCTCGGAAAAGTCAGGCCTTCGGAGTTGACCATACTCCCGACTTCTCCGGTGAGCTTCCACTCCTTCAGGCAGTCTCCCCGGATGGCCGGCAGGCAGAAAAGATCTCTCAGAACGGCGGGTAACTCTAAGGAGTAGAAGTAGTCACGGATGTCGGATTGAGCGACATGTAGTTCTTGCCCTTTTGGAATCCGCACTGAACTCCAAGTTGCCCCCGCAGAAAGTGCCATTGCTGGCGGTGGTTTGAAACGCTGATTGGTGCCCCTGCAATCCAACACCAGCCTCAACTTACCATTCTTTTTCTGCACAAAAAACGGCGCAATGAGATCCTTTGGCTTGCTAGTGAAATCAATCATGTTCTTGTCCAACAGGTCTTTGACAAACAATTCATACTGCTTTGGATTGTTTTGCAACACGGCATCCATGTATGGCCTAAAACCCGCATGTTTCTCTGCGATCTGCCCCCATGTCTCCTCATCCACCAACATTCGATTCAAGGCGTCCCCAACGACTTCTCGACCGATCGGGTCCATCACCTGGGACAAAGGCACCAAGTGTGCCCCCATTTCCGGAAGTGAAACCAGGTCTCTCACGTAAGGACGAACAGTTGTCATCGCCGACCCCCCATCGTAGTCGGACTGTGTTTGCAGAAGCTCCTTGACAGCCTCACGCTCACTACAGTACTGTGTTGGTTTAGGCACTCGGCCCAATTGCTGAAAAATCCTGTGCTGACTTTCCTTTTGACTTGTAGTGCAAAAATTGGAAAAACTCTGTTTTGAACCAAACATCTCGTTCAGACATTCAGAGATCGCATTAGCCTCCTGCACCCGGGCCTTCAGCCTGTAGTGTCTCCTTCGCTGAGATGTGGAGCCACCTGTGGGATAGAGAGGAACTGAGGACGGGGGTAGAGGAAAAAGTTCACGCCATCGATCTTCAGATTCCTGCCCGCCTCCAACAAAATTGTGACCCATCACGGGTCTTGCAGCGTCATCCACCGCGCCAGACCAGGTCGCTGCACCCCAGCCCGGTGAGCTCATCCTCATTTGGCCTCACCGCCTTCCCCCTGCTTCTTGCCAGAGGGGTTGCGGCGGTTGGAACGTGCTTGAGCTTCTTCGCGTGCTTTGCGAGCCTCCTTCGATATGGCGGCTTCATTCTTCAACTCTCCAGCCACGTGTGCAGCCAGACTTGAATCAACTCCATGAGCCTGCTTCTTGAACCGCCAGCCCATGAAATGAGGCGATGAGCTTCTCTGATCACCTGCATTCGACGCACTATCAACTCCATGGATTGGAGCCCACTTGGATTCAACTGGTCTATGCACACCATACTCTCAAAAATCCGGCTGAGGCACTCGTGCTCGTACACGCTCCTGTCGCCCCGAGGGATCTCTGCTGTCCTCAACCAAAACTCATGGTATGAAGTCGGTGTCATGGCTTGTTCCCGCAAACTCTTGGCAATATTCAATGCTGTTGCAGGTCCGTCCAATTGTAATCCTCCACCCTGTGGGGTGCCCTCCACCATGGAGGGAATGGCTGCTGCAAATTCACGGCGTCGAA